GGGAAACAATCGCACATCCGTGCATTTCTTGTCATTTGTTTTTGTAGTTCGGTTGTTCTAAAACATCTTCACGGATACCTAAATTAGTGATCCCGTACAACATTTTCCATTCGTTCCATTGAAACCCACCATAGTGCAGGGCAAAAACGTCCTCGCTCCGCAAGTGTTGACCCACACGCGTGAAGAGCAGCCACGAATGGAGCGCATTCCGGAACTGAGTCAGTGCGTGTGCGCTGCGCAGTGAGATTGTAGACAGAGATTCCTGGTCTGTAACACCGATAGAACTCGAGAAATAAGAATTTTGAATTATGATCGTTACTACAAATTTTATAAGAATTTATTTTTAAAGAGAACTCGTATGAAGTATTTTGGTAATTCTTTCTCCTTTCTCATAAATTATTAATGTTTGATTTTTTTTAACTAGCGAAAACTTGAAGCGCGTATCTGCCGAAATTGGCTTCATATTTCACCATGAATCCAAATCAATATTCATAACTTCTATACCGAACCTCAAAATGGCCTGGTGCTACGGACGAGCTGCTCAGTGCAGTTACGGCGTCCCGAGTGCACCCTGGTTGCGTCTCATTGTGTGAATGGAATATGCGCTTCTTTGCACTGAGTGCGCACCAGAGCGGGGAATGTAAACGCAATTTGGTAGCAAAATGCTCCTTGATACAACAGTGTGAGATGATGTCAAACCCAATAGTTCGATTGATACCGTCGCATACCGTTATTGCACAGTTAGTACAATTTAGTTTCAAGGCAATATGTTTGAAAAACCTATGTATCTAAATCTGATAATGCAGTTAACGTGCAGCTTGTAAGTTATATGTAATCACAAACAAATCCTGTGAATCATAATCCTGTGAATTTTTCTTTCTCGTAGATTGACAAATGCCTCTTTCTTTGTGTTGCTTTATACTTTTTATTTTAATGTTATTAACGCATATATGATAGCAAGAGGGGCGTATTGTTGAACAACAAAAATCAGAAAAGATATTTTGTATGATACAGGTGTTGTATCACTTTGATTCCACATGACGTATTCATGGGTTTAGATTAATCTTTCAGTACCTCTCAGTGAGTACAAAGAAAAAATCTGCTGTGGGGTTATGTGTACATTACGTAAATTTTTCCGCGAACGAGCCCGAAAGAATCCCTACTTGAAAGATCATAACACTGATTTGATTCCTTTGAATAAACAACATTGTACTTAACGTATCCCGTTGAAGGGTTAGAATCGTACCATCTCGCAATCGAATGTGAATGTAGTTTCCTGCGAAAGGCCTTGGATGTGAGTAATCCCCTGGAAAATTCTCCGCGCCGTAAGGTGGTACTCGTGGAGCGAAGGCTGGCCTCCGCGTGGTGTGACGGAGTCCCTGGGCGGTGGGCCGCGACAGCTGTAGAAGGGCCCTTCCGTTCTGGACCCTTTCCGCGGCGTCCTGTCCAGCGTCGCCCTCGCCCTGGCGACAGAGGCGAAGGGTCGCGACACGCCTCGCGCGTCGCCCCCCCCCATCCTCCCCCACCGCCCCCGCAGCTTCCTTTTGTCGGGCGGGCGCTGCAGACAGAAAGCACGCGGGTTTGCGACGGGAACAGAGGCGCTTTTCTGTTGGTGTTTGCAGACGTCATGCACCGCTTATTACGCTCCATTGTCTGCGCTCGGGCTGCCGACAGTCACTTCGTTTCCCTCGTGATGAAGATAATGTATATTTACATGTGCGGCCCACCGTTGAGTCGTACTGGAGATGCACATCTGTAAATTGGTCTGCATATTTGGGGTTGACGCGAAGTTGGATTAGATGGTATTAACATTCTATTCAGTGTTCTGCTAGTTGAAAAATCACTAAGCGAAATGAGATTTGAAATCTTATCAAATGTTATGATGACTGATAATTAGCTCATGGTGGATTGACAATATTTCCCGACAAAGTAAATTGCAAAGTTGCTTTCCTGCTGTTTCCGAATGCTTGTCCTCAAGGATTCTGAGCGTATATACAAAGGTTAGCCACAAGAGGCGGAGCTCAGCCACAAGAAGGCTGGGTCTAAGTAGTTGGACCTAAATAATACAGTGCTGAGTGCTCTCTGTGTATGGTTCTCTCGTTCGAGTTGTGTTTCTCGACATATCTTGCCGTCGTGGTACTTTTGCACATTCTTTCCGGAACTCACTGTTTCATTGAGGGGAAAAAAAGTTTCTTGAAAAATAAGAGAGGATTCTGACACCCTGTCAAAATGAAAGGAGCAGTTTGTGTTGAACTTTCATACGATCCATGCTTTCCAAGAGCTTTTAGCTTTGAGTGTCGGATTTTAGCATTATTGCCCAGAATTTGAACGCTTGTATTATGATGAATTGATAACCCCACTCGTAGTCCCTTGCATTTTTAGATTCGGGATGCTTCAGCGATGACCCAGAGCAGCTAAGAAGCTCGGACAAGAATCACTGCTCTTCAGTTTCCTCCGTTTAGGAACTCAATGTAAAGATTCGACGAAGTCAGCTGTTGTTCTTGAGACTTCCAGGGGAGGATTGGCATTATTTCTTTCCAATAACCTAACAAGCCAAGCGCGTATTTGTCATCGTATTCATTTTTTTACGTATAACCGTCGGTTCTTCGTCGTTAAATTCCAACAGCATCCAGCGGCTATTTTTATGCACCCATAATTAACGTCTTAAAATTGGAAGGGCGCTGCGCAATAAAAGACTGATCCTTCACTCTGCATTTACTGAAGAAACTGTTGTTTGCCTCTTTCTCCCTTTTATATCATTCCCCTCTTCCAGTGCACCATTGGGTGTTTCATTATTCTCATCGAGTGGTTTCCGAATGACCCCCCCCCCTCCCCGCTCACATCCTGAGATGAATCTCCTCCATCATCTCACCCACAACCATCAAAGTAGCGTGGAAGGGCGAGAAAGAAAAGCAAGCACGCTCTATGTCCACCGGGGCAGTTCGCGCGGCAAAAAGCTTTCGGGGGCGCGGCGCGCGGGTCGTGAGGTGGGCAAGCGGTGCAAATGGCGCGCTTCCTGCCGCCGATGGGGCAGCACCAGCAGGAGCTGTGTTGTGCAAAAAGCGCAGCACGAGGCGGACGACGGGCAATCGCATCCGCCCCGCCCCTCCCCGCCCGCGCCGCCCTCCCCGCCCCCTGGCGGCCTGGCGCAAGGGCCGAGGGCGAAGCGATAGCCGCTCCGCATTGCGGTTGCGCGCGCGTCCGGCGCCCCCCGGCGCCGCGCGCGCCGTGCCGTAGGATAATTACCCGGTAAAAAAGCGTAATGAAAGGCTGCTGCTGGTGCTACTGTGGGTTGGGGTTCGGGGAGGACCCTTGACCTCCTGGAAGGGCGGGACCGGGGGTTTCTCCACGCCCCGCCGCGCCTCGCCCTCGCCTCGTCTTTGCGCCGCCCCGCCCCGCGCCGCGCCGGCCCCCGCAAAGGTGCTTGCCGGTGCAACTCCAACACCCCACCCAGCCACCGGCTGCGCCTGGGCCCCGCTCTGGCCCCGCTCTGGCCCTGCCTGCCCCCGCTCCGCTCTGCCCTGCTGCCCCGCTCTGCCCTGCCCGCTCTGCTGCTCCGCTTGCACTCGCCTGCCCCCTCGCGCCGCCGCCCGCCTCCGCTGCTCCGCCCGGCCCCGCCCGCCGCTCGCCGCACCTCCGGCTCCTTCTTCGGCCCGCAATCCGTCCCCGCCCCGTCCGGGTCGGCCGGCCCGTCGTCCCGGCCCGTACGTCCCCGGCCCTGTCCTCCTCGCCACACCCGGCCTCCGCCACGCCCAGCCCAGAGAGAGATTCGGCAACGGCTTGCGGCACAGGTGCAGCAACATACCCAGCTTTCGGTGGAACCCTTAGAATTGAATTTTCTTCAGTGGCAAGTATTCTATTCGGGATCAAAAATAACTGTTACATCGCGGATTCTGCTAACAAATTCTTGTTTTTGTGGGCAGGGAATCAGCTCTTCCCACTCTCGTTGGATTTAATATCCTTTTATAAGGAAGTAGACTGCAACCTAATATATAATTTATTTTCCCTTATTTTGCATTGAGATAGCACATTTTTTAGGAATGCGCCATTTGAAAAATCTATACACTGGAGATATGGTGTGGTGAATTCATCTAAAAGCGTGTTGTTGGCAAACAATCAGAGAAAGGAACGTGCAGCGGGGATGGCAAGAAGCGGTCCGCGCGGATCCCTGTCGCCTAGAGGAGACGGTGGCGACCCCGCATGGCGTTGAATTTGGGCGCGCGCTGGCAAAGCAGGCAAGCCAAGCAGGCATTCCTCCACACGCCCGGCCGCCTCCTTGCTCCTCCTACCCTCTTTTGGCCGGTCCCCGCGTCATTGGCTTCCCCCCCCGCGGGCTCACCCTCTCACTCGGCCTCGTCCCGCTCCCGTCCCGCGCCGCGCCGCACCGACCGTAATGGTCGCGCATTATCATTCTCCGCAGTTTGGACCAAATCCGATATAATTTCTTTAACCTCCAACAAGCTTGTTAACGGCGCGGGGAAATTAACTTTTATTTTACGGCGCGCGGTCGCCCGGCATTATATGCTAAGCGCGCGCCGCCGCTGCCCGCCGCGAGACCAGCTCCCGCGCCCCGGCCCCGGCCACGGCCCCTTACGGAATTCACTCTCTTGCCTAGCGATGCCTGGTCGACCCTGATTTACTTTTGGCACGCTCCGTTCCTAGGGGGATTTTTGAAATTGTTTGCGCTTTTTTCTTCAATATATAGAACAAACGGATTTTTTTGTTGTTAAATTCTGGGATTGCTTACATTTACAATTACATCTTCCTTTACCAGTGTGGTGGAACAGGAGAGTATCATTCATAAAATGGGAAGTTGTGAAATTGAATTGCTTCTTTGTAAATTTTTCAGTCACGTCCGTATATTGTTGTAATGACAAATTCTGTTGTAAAGGTGGCACTATGAATGAAATGGAAGTGGCGGAATTGGGAGTTCTTTTTCTTTCAGTCTGAAGTGCCTTGTCTACGGTTGGTAACGTGAACGTTTTTCTCTCTTGTTGCAGGATCCCTCCTCGGTAAGTGCGCGGATGCTGCCTCTCCACGAGCTAGCTGGACTCAAACTTTCCTTTACATTAATCGTATTTTACAAATATATTTTGCTAAAGTTAATATAAAGCATCAATGGTTATAGAAATTGTACAACCATCTTGCCATAAATCATAATTCGAAGTATTTTATAACATCTAAGTTCCTAGTTTATTACATATTTGATCTCAAAACATAAGTATTTTTCAAATTTAGAAGTAGCCTTAACTGTTCTCCCCGTAACTTCTTGTTTCAAGAAAGAATAAGGAATTAAATAGCATAAGTGTACGTATGTATCCAATTACGTATAAATATGTCAGTAATTATTATTTTGGCTCGGAAATTGTCGTTAGATCAGTTTAAATGACAAACCGCCGACGAAAACTCCTTAGGACTTATTCGAGCGAAATGTTATGGCATTGCGAATCTTTTTGTTGCATCTTCGCCCGCTTCGCTGTCATCGCCGACCTGGCTGTGCTGCTGTGCCTGCGCCCTTCTGACTTTGTCCTACCTTGAATACGTATTATGGCTTCATTACAGGGTGTAAGTATATTATCTTCTGTTCTCCTTGAAGTACGCTAATACCAGGGCTGCAGAAACAGATCACAGCAACATCTATTTCCATGTAATCGATATGATAATTTGGTGTCGCACACCTGCCATCGGCTTTATGACGCCTAAATACGGGGAATAGATCGAATTAATTCAATGTTAAAGATTGTTGAAACTTATGATCGGAAATAACCCCTAATTTTCTTGGATTGTTGACTATCATCTGGGCTTTATCACCCTGATAAAGTTTCGAAATTAAATGTAGCGTGTCCCTCAAGCGGTTCTTTTCAATATGTTTTCCTATTTGTCATTTGTTTTCTCAGCTTCGTGATATTAGCGTACTGCTTATTTAATATAAGTTTTTATGATTCGATTTCAAGATATAGCCATTAGATTCAATTGAGAATCTAATGAATGACGAGTTTTTCTTCGTGAAAACATTCCACTGCTGTTATCCTGGCAATGTTTGTAGTGAAAAGCCACGCATTCGATGTAGGTACTCTGAGAAAATAATTTTGCCTTTACGTACGGCTTCGTGAGAGTTTTAATTCCGGAGACCAGGTCAGGGTTGACCATCTGTCAGTTCTGACAATGAGAAAAATTACGTATAATTGAGTCAAGTGAAATGCGATAGAAGCTGGTCAGTTTTTATGTTTGTCAGTAGTGGAATTCGTATCAGTAGATCACTTCATTTATGTTATTGGCTACAAAACGAGCAATTTTGGAAAATATCAATGTTAACCTAATTAATATGATAGGAGAAAAAGGCCACGCCAATAACATAAATGAGAAAAAAAATTATATCGCGTTTTCAATAAAGAATTGTTGTTCTAAACGTATGTGAAAATGTGTTAATTGTCATTGCAATTAATTTAATGGCTCTGGATTAACACTTAAATTTTTTTTCTCGTACGCTGCTTTGAGGCCGGTTTTTGCGAAAATCTAGAAGGCCCTGCAGGAGGTGATCATCTCGTGGGCACGGTTTGTGTCGATGGCCCCTCTTCCCGGAGCGCCGAATCTTCGTGGTCGCGACGGCGGCTGGAGCGAGGGGCCTCGCCGGCTTGCAAGTATCGATAATCGCCGTGCGCAATTAGCGCGGGCCGTCCTCTTCCTGGTGCCCCGCGCGCAGCCCTCGGCCGAAAGACAGGGCGGCGGTTTCTGCGGTTTGCGCCGCTCGCGGCCGATGATAGCCTTCCGTCCCGGGCTGGAGGAGCGTTCCCTGAGCGCCGTACCGTGCCATCCGCGTACGAAAACGGCTGCTGCGCGGGGTACCTCCAGCGGACGGGTTGGAAAGCCCGGGTCGGGTGCGCGCTAGCGGCAACTATTGTTCTGCGTCCGAAGTGTGAAGACTGCAGCGACGTCTCTCCGAGGCGAAACAGACTTGCGCGTGAAGAGTAACGTTGGTTTCAGTAGGACGTCGTCTTCAGTGGCTCATTTTTTTTCTCGAACCTCTCCTCCCCCAACGGCTATCCGGTTTCAGGTTCATGTTTATTGTAGCTACTTGTACATGTTGATATTCGTTTTGAAAGTATCAACAAAAAGTTGATAACATCTTACCAGCTGGAAAAAGGTAAGGTTTGGTGAACCGAGATGATTTTTTTCTGAAAGTTATCAGTTTTGTAATGTGAAGAATTTCTCTGATTCTCTTTATAAGAAAAACAGAAACTTTAGCTCAAACAAATTGAAACGCCTTTTCTGGTAGGCTACTTCCCATTGTGCTAAACTGAAGCGCATTCTTAGCTAATTTAGAAAATTAATGTTTCAATTCCTGCCTTCATTTCGGTATTTTTTGTAAGGTCTCCTGCTGGGATGCTTGACAATCATAATTACATTTTCTATGCTATTACTTGTGAAATTGTACAAATGTTTGCAAGCAGTGAGTGAGATTTCGGTTTTATTAGTTAAATGTAACACGTACAATAGCAAGGATATTTTTAAAGTTTAGCGAAACTAATTAATTTTTGCCTTTGTATGAGCTCTGTAGAATGTTGACTGATTGCGCTTTCTTGATTTCCGATGTTCCTGATTCCTTTGGTGCCCGGCTGTTACAAACATCGCTGTTCCTGATGCTTTTGACTTCATCCAGTATGTAAGTAGACACATTTTTTACATTCACACTTTCCCGCATTAAAAAAACACCCGTGGAACACCACCGTCTCCCGGTTTATAACATACACTAAACTTTCGGAACTACTGCCCTAAGTAGTTGACGAAACCGGAATCATTACTCAAGACACTCTCTTACCAGAGTTTGAGCCACGATACACAGTGGTAGAAAGCTAACGCTACCCTACGCCCCCGCTCGAAGAGGCGCCGAAAAGTTCAGTCCTTCCCCTACGAAGCCGGGAAGAAAGGTGACGACTTGTGAGCTTTCCCTTCACCTCAACGCCTCCCTCCTCTCCCGCGGCATCGCTTGGCCTGACGGATCGCCGACGCCCCCGGCAGGCACGTGCGGAGGAGTCTCCCATGGCGGCAAGCCGCCCTCCGCTTCCTCCCTCCACTCGTCACCAGAGTAGCTGCTCCGTCTCCCTTTCCGTCCACTCATCAGTGTCGGATGGGCAGGGGATGGAAAGGAGGAGTCCTCCTCTCATACGTGCTTCTGCTGAATATCGAGGAAGATTTTTTTTAGTTTATAGCTATAAGGAGTTTTTATACAACGCGCGCTTTTAAGCCACGCGAAATCGATACCAAATCGTTCTGGGGAGGAACTAACAGTCTTTCATCCTTTGTGTTCATTGGCCGTATCTTGCGTAGCTCACGGGGCCAGAACGAGTCTCTTACCTACTCGTCAGGGGACGTGGGCGATGTCATACCAGAAAGGGTCAGGATGCGCAATGTTATCTCACTACGTGTGTTGGCAGAAGCTCGCGTGAGCGGGCACACCGAACCGATAGAGCTTTGTCTCTTGTTCCATCAGAATTCAGCTCGTGTAATATAGTTTGTCTTACGGTTGGATTGAAGAAGGTTATGTTTTTTACTTCATTGTCGTTTCTCATCTTAAGAAAAGGGAATATGCCTCCAGCATCCACTGCCCCCATCGTGTCTAGCACGAGTACTCCTTAGCTCCCCGATATTTGTGCTTTTGACGCTCTTCGGAAAGTGAACTGAACGGTCGAAACTTCTTTACATAGGGCGGACTCTTCATGGCATAGCTACTGGGGCGTGTGTTCTATCCCTGGCCTATCCATGTGGAATTTGTGATGCACAAAACGGCCTCTCCGCGGGTTTTCACGGGTATATCTCGGTTCCTCTGCCTCTCAATCCAGCATTTTTCCTTTATTACTACTATCATCTACCCATTAGATCATCACTCACGGACCTCTGTGATTTTAATAGTTGAAGAGCCCCAACATTAATACATTTCCAAACCTTTGATCTGTTTTTCGTTGGGCTTTTCCCTTTTATTGTAGGTTGAGAATTGCATGAACAAAATTAAGAGAGGCCATATTTGAAGGTCGTCAGAATGTACGTTTCAATTTTTATTTGAAGATAAACGGGTAAGGATATGTAAAGAAAAACGTTTGGCATAATTTCAGGAGCTCGCCATGTTTATTTAATTCCGAAAACTGGCATTTTTCATGCCCTGATGAACGAAATTGTATTCTGCTTATTAAGTAATTTCAGTAATGGTAATGCATTCACTTTGTCATTGAAAAATCGTGTATGTGCATCATTTCACCAAACATAAGGGATGTCCTAATGTTTTCATTCGGGGTTAGAGGTTGGGAATACATCAGTGCTATATGTGTGTTGTACAATATTCATCAGCACTCTGACGTAAGAGATGGCTCAGGGCATCAGCTGATGTCACTGCAGCCTTTTGACCATGATGTTCTACATTCGATTCCCGACCGTGGCAGGATTTGCGATGCTAGCGGACGGCTGCTCTGATCGCTAGTTTTCCGTGGTTCCTCCGATCAACAGGCGAATGCAAGAGCAATGCCCAAACAAACGGGCCACGGACTGCGCGCGATATTTCCTACCTCTTCTTTCGCCTATCCTCATTCCTTTCTTACATTCTTACACTAACATGCAGTCCACTACCACACATGCCGGAGACCGATCTGAAGCTTAGAGCTTGACCCGGCTGGGGCGGTCCCCCGCTGATGGGAGATACCTGGTTAGGGAAAACCGCTATCCGACGGTAGGTCGGCGGAGATCTCGCCATAGAACGGGAGAAGATCACCGTCACCTCCTGATCAATCAATCATCAGTACTCTGTGTGCGGGCGATGTGAGGCTTAGTACTGTGGTGCAACAAATCTTCTCCTCCTTTGAAAACACAATATCGTCAACGTCTGTGAGGCAAGCGATTTTCAAGAGACGAAAGAATGAAAGAAACGTGGTGCGTAAATAATGAGAATGCTGTCTTTCAGCAAGAGTCGAAAACCGCAACGTAGCCACTTATTCCATCATTCCTCCCATATGAATTTTCTGATACTAGAAATTATCTGTAGTTGTAAATGTGATCATGACAAAAATTAAAAAAATCTGCCAAAATAAAAACTTAAAACTATTTTTATGTGTT